TATTGAAGTGTTTCACAAAAAACTAACATTGGAAAGGTCAAATTATAAAAATACTCCTATGGGTATTTTAGTAATTTCACACCTCTCAAGGTGCAATTATGGTTTTTGATGCTCAAAAAATCATGAAATAATAGTTTAATGTGTTTGAAAGGTTTTATAAAAATCTAACTTCGAGAAGGTAAAATTACAAAAATATTCTTCAAAGGCATTTAGGTACTTTTATTCTTCTAGAAGTGTAATCTAGTTTTTCAATGCTTTAAAATCACAAATGTCAATTTTAAGTCATATTGATTCCAAATGATTATGAATTTTGAAAATTGACTCAAGTTTAATCTGATTTGATCTATTTTTATCAGTTTTGATCAAGTTTGACAAAGTTTGACCTTAGGGCATTTGGAGTCAAATTGGCCCTAATTTTTATTTTAAAAATTTGTTAAAATTAAAGAAATGTTGAATTTGAATCGGGTCGGGTACTAAGAGTTTCACAATTGGTTGAATTTTACCCAAAAAAAAATTAAGTATTGAAACAAAGTATTGATTTGGATGAAACAAGCCGATGTTGGGGTGAAATAGAGGAGAAATAAAAGTAATATGAAGCAAAATGGTTTGAAAAATATTTTAAGCAACTAACATTGGAATGTAGAAGGTGGGAAACTAGGAATGGGCTTTCGTTATAAATGGTGAAACTAAGAGTCGTGTTGACGTGAGCGAAACCTATAACAGGGTAGAGTGGGGGGTTTTTAAAGGTTTTTAAAGGTCATTATGCAGAGAATGAGATTTGCTGATAATTGGGTTCACGAATCATGAGATGTATAACTTCAATTTCATATTTCATATTTCATAATGCTCAATGGCAATGTCACTGATAGTTTTTGTCCATGAAGGGCCCTTGCCAAAAAGACCCTCTTTCTCCTCATCTATTCCTTTTATGTACAAAAGGCTTCTCAACTATGTTGAAACAATACCGAACGAAAGGATGGATTACTGGCATGAGGGCTAATCAGAATGGACCCCAATTACTCACATTTTTTTATAGATGATAGTTTGTTATTTATTAATGCAAGTCTAATGGAATACATGAGGGTGAAGCATGTACTACAAAAATATGAACAAAGTTTGGGACAACAAATCAACTATGAAAAGTTATCCTTATTCTTCAACAAAAGCACATTAGAGGATTGTAGGGAAGTGTTAAACATATTTTTGGAATCCAAGTGACAGCAAATCCAGAAAAACATCTAGGTGTTCCAACTATGGTGGGAAAAGAGAAGAAAAAACCATTCAGAGATATAACAAACAGGATGAAGGGAGAATACAACATTGGAGTGGAAGAATGTTGTCCAAAGGTGGGAAAGATGTTTATATAAAAGCAGTGTTTCAAGCAGTTTCGATGTATGTCATGAGTTGTTTTCTTCTTCCCAAAGGTCTTTGTGATGAGATAAATAGCATTATGAGCAAATTTTGATGGATGTTAAAAGCTAAAATGAGAGGCATACACTGACCGAGATGGAAGAAGCTTGGTGAGAGCAAAGTAGTTGGAGGAATAGGGTTCAGGGAGGCTGCGAGCTTTAATGTTGCATTGTTAGGAAAACAAGGCTAGCACCTAATGAGAAGACCATAGTCTCTGGTTCACAAAGTGCAGAAGGCAAAGAATTTTTTGAATTCTTAACTTTCTGGAAGCTGAAATGGGTGCAAACCCTTCCTTTACTTGGCGTAGTGCTTGGTCTATGAGGAAAATCTTGAAAATAGGTCTAAGATGAAAAGTGGGTGATGTTAGTAGGATGAGAATTTAGCAAGATATATGGGCTAAACCGTTTCAGAAACTTGAACCATGTGAAGATGCGAACCTGTGCACACAATAAAAATTGGTTTCAAACCTGATGGAGCCCAACGAAAGAAAGTGGAAGGAGGAAGAGATCAAAAAATTGTTCTGGGATGAGGAAGCGCAGTTACTATGGTATATACCACTGGGATACACAGGTAGAGAGCATCAACTGGTACGGGGACTAGAAAGGAATGAAGAATAGTTAGTAAGAAGTGCATATAGATTGCTCAACAGCTCACATGAGGACATCATAATGCAATGTCTGCAAACGGGTGGTTGAAGCAACCAATGATTCAAATAGCGGTCAGATAGCGGTGTCGTGACCGTTATTGCACGGTCGCGCCACTAACCGCCACCGCTATTAGAGAAAAAACGGGAGAGAATTTGAATCTCGTCTATAACAGATGAATCGCGGTCATGAATTACGGTATAACGGTGAATAGCGGCAATAGCGGTCCGCTATTGCCCGCTATTATCGCTATTCCTATTTTCATTCAAAAATTAAAAAAAAATCATTTGATTTTCTTTAAAAACTTAAAATAAAAACAACAAGAAAGAAAATAAATATCAATTTACAAATTCAGAAAAAAAAAAACCCACAAAACTTAAACTTCCAAAAAAATCAATTCTCTCAAGTTCAACTTCAATCAAAATCAAGTATATGCAATTTAAAGTAAACAATTAATTCAACACTCAAATTATCTTTTTTTTTTTAATTTTCAAATTTACCATGATTTTGTGTGTTTGGGATTAGATTGGGCTATGTTACATTGATAGAAGGAGGCAAGAGTTGCTGGGACTTAAAATAAGAGACAAGAGATGAGAGTGAAGCTTGAGGTTTGCAGAAGCAAGCAGATAGCAACACCAAATAAAAAGAGAACTGAGAGATGGGGATGAGGATGAAGGTTTGAAGAAAAAAATTATTGAATGCAAGGTGAAGGGATGAGAAGTTGTGTGAGTTTGTGCAATTTAGTCAAGAGACGAGGAAAGTAGACTTGAGGTTATTATTGTTGAAAATCACCCATAACATGTAGGCTATCAAGGTTGATTTACTGTAAGTTCATAAAAAGCAATTTTTTTGACTTATAAATAATAATGCTCTTACTTAATTTATGAATACCTAATCACTTATTATTTGATTTATGCATAATATAGTTTGGTAATAATTTAATGAGTACGGTAATTAAATAATTAAATATATTATTCGTTATGATTATTTATTTTTCACATATTTATTTATCTCTTTTTATTTTTTAATTATCATATAAATAATTTTTTAAATATGAATATTTTATTATAAATATTTTTCTTAAATAAATAAAACACATGATATGATATAAATTACTTTAAAAATCATAAAATAAGAGATTTTATGATTAATAATTAAAATTATTATATTTTATAGCAAATTGAGCAAAATTTAAAAAAATTCACGACCGCCATAGCCACAATGACCGCAAATGTCTATTATATCCGCAACCGGGACAAATGTGATGCGACTGAAAACGTGATTGTTACCGCAATTTAAATCCCTGGAAGCAACTGTGGAAATTAAATCTCCTAACAAAGATTAAAGTGTTTGGATGGCGACTAAACTTTGGAATTTTACCAAATTTTAGCAATTTAAAGAAGCGGGGAATTACAGTGAATGAGACATGCAAAATGTGTGGGTAGGAAGACGAAACATCAATGCATGTGATGAAAAGGTGTGGGGCAGCAAAGGATATATGGAACATGGGAGGATGGGGTGCAGAATGGACCAATGCAGATATGGAAAGAAAGGTTGGCTTCATTGCTTGTATGAGAAAATGGACCAGAACAGCATGGAGTTGGAGTTGACAACTTGCTGGATGGTCTAGCATAATAGAAACGTGGAGATTATGACCAATGAAGTGAGAAACGCTAAAGGCACCGTGGCGTTTGTTGAGAGATTCATGGAGGAATATAGAGAAGCTCAAATTGGCAAAGCCTCTAGGGTTACTAAAGAGATTATTAGATGGAAAGCACCAGCGAATGGTCTGCTTAAGGCTAACTTTGATGGAGCATTGAAAACAGATGAGTGTGTCTGTGGCATAGGAATCGTGATATGAGATGGAACAGGACAGGTTATGGTTGCATGCTCAACAACAGTAAAGAGAGTCAAAGATCCCACAATTGCAGAGGCCTTAGCAGAGATTAAAGCCATTGAAGTTGTGAAAGAAATGGGATTTCAGGCTGCTATAATTAAGGGTGATGCTGCAGTGGTCATAAACTAGATAAAGTTTGATGAAGAAAATTTATCAATGGTTGGTGAACTAATCAGAGATGCAAAGCTGCTGGGGCAAGAGCTTCATTATTTTTTTGCTGTCCATACTAAGAGAGAAGCAAATGATGCTACACATAGTCTGGCAAAGAGTGCTCTTCGACTTCGACCACCCATGGAGCCAGAGTACTAGGTCAACAAATGTCCCCTTATTATTTCGATGTAATCGTTGCTGAAAGTATTAACTTATAATCTAATAAAGATTATCATTTTCAAAAAAAAAAAAAAAAAGTGTTATGTTACCGTCAAAGTCAATGCCTTGTCACATTATATTTATAATTTTTCTAATAATTTTTTTTTTTTTTTTATAAATGATGTAAAAAGGAATTGGCGTATTAGCATTTATGAGAAACAACACATTTTGAAGAAAGATCAAGTTATACAAATTTTTTTTTTAATAATTAATTTTAATAGATTAAAAGGATGAAAGAGACCAATAAAAAAGAATAATTTAATTATTTTTTTTGGATTTATTAAAATTAATTATTAAAAAATATAAAATTAAAAAATTTTATATTAAAGTAAGTTGACCCTTCCTATATATTATAATTTGTATATAATTTGAAATTGTTGAAGAGATCAGGCTAAACCCAAGTTTTGGCCATAAATATTGAAACTAAAGCTCAACTAGATTCTTAAAGGAGCCTCATTTTGCTTGTCCAAATTTATTTAAGAATCTAATATTTATGTTAAAATCTTTTTAAATTTTGATCGAATTTTCGAATTTTGATGAATAGTATAAACTTCGGATAAGTCTATTACAACACAAATCCAATAAGAAATTAAAATTGTTGGAGCTTTTTGTTTAAAAGAGTCTACAGTAAAATGGTCACTCCAAGCCCAATCAAAAGCCCGCCCCTACTCCGCCCCGCTCCAATTGCCACGGTCAACCTCTGCAGACCGCACGCAATTGGTTTTAAATATTTGGTTTTTCAAAGTTGAAAAGCGCGCAGGTAATTATCCGGCCGTCGCCATACAATGCTCAAAGCAAAAGCCTCTTCTGACCTGGTCTCTCGCCCAATCATCATTCTTTCGGCAACCCAACTCAACAAATTTCAACAAAAAAAAAGCCAACGACAATCTTTTACAGAAAATCTCTTATCCCTGTTAAAAAAATGCACATCCACGAAACTCTTACAACAAATCCACACCCAAATGCTCATTAATGCCATCCAAAAACCAAACTTCCTTCTCTCCAAAATCATTGACCTCAAAAACTTAGCCTACGCTTCCCTTCTCTTCTCCCAAATCCCGCAACCTAACGATTACGCGTTCAATGTCATGATCCGTGGCCTTACCACCACTTCGCAAAACTACTTTGCAACTCTTCATTTCTATTATCAAATGAAGTTTTTGGGCTTAAAACCAAATAAATTCACTTACCCATTTTTGTTTATTGCGTGTGCTAATCTTTTAGAGCTGAGCCATGGGCAGTTAGCTCATTCTTCGGTGTTTAAACTTGGGTTGGACGTTGATTCTCATACTACTCACTCTTTGATTACAATGTATTCCCGTTGCGGCGAACTAGGTAGTGCTCGTAAGGTGTTTGATGAAATAACTGAAAGAGATTTGGTGTCGTGGAACTCGATGATTTCGGGATATTCGAAAATGGGGTATGCGAGCGAGGCGGTTGGGTTGTTTGGGAAGATGAGAGATGAAGGATTTGTACCTGATGAGATGACGTTAGTCAGCGTTCTTGGGGCTTGCGGGGACTTGGGGGATTTAAGTCTAGGGATGTGGGTGGAGGGGTTTGTTACGAAACATAAGATGGAATTGAATTCATTTATTGGGTCTGCTTTGATTGGTATGTATGGAAAGTGTGGGGATTTGGTATCGGCTAGGAGGATCTTTGATGGAATACCGGAGAAGGATGTGGTCACCTGGAATGCTATGATCACTGGGTAAGCAAGTCTTATTCTGTGCAATTGTCTTAAAGGGTTTTTTTTTTTTTTTTTTTGAGGCAATCTAATTTATGTTAAGTGCCATAGCATAAGAAATTTTCTTGTTGTGTTGGACTGATTAGGCCATAAGTTTAGGGGTGGCAATTTAAAGTTTGATATTATAATAAGAATGGTTGACATCAACAGGACTCAATCACATAATAATTTGAATAACACCATCTTATTTATCACACGGGTTATACATGACATAAAAAACCCTATTTAATTAAAATGGTGTGTCAAAATTTTAATTTTAAATGACACATCAACTTATTACTAAACTTTTTTAATACATGAATTTTAAGCAATAATAATTGAATAAATTGGTTTAAATATGTTGTGTGGGTTCTGTCATATGGGCTAAAATTTTGACACAATTAATTAAATGGGTCAATGTGGTCTTTTCTTTTTTACAAAGGCAGTCGTAAGCTAGGGATAGAGAAGGGTTACAGGTGTCGGAATCTGAATTCTATATCTGTTAGATGCCACCTCTTAATGGTGGCTGCATGAACCAACTAGTTAAGGTTAGGGTTCAATGTGGTCCCTTTTGGGATTAAGCAGTCAAATTAGACATGAAAAGTTTTGAGTCATAATCGGTTGCCATGATGAGATGAATATGATTTATCTGATTTTCAAACCCCTTGCTACATTTCATTTTTTTTCGGTTTTGTCTCAAATTACCTACAATAATCAAGTCAGAACCACATGTTAAGGGAAGAGGTTTTGGCCACAATACATTATAAATTCAATTGAGAGTAGATCCATTGTATTGATTGGAATATGCTACCAAGTACCAACTACTTCTTCTTATTTCTGTTTACCTTGTGGTTTGAAATTATTCATGCTAGATAATTAAATTTGTTGCACTTATTCATTCTAAAGAATTTAATAAGGTGCACTAATTGTATCTATGGATAAGTAAAAATAAAGCTTGTAGCATTGCTTTAAATTTGGATATTAAACCTCTTTTTAGTAAACAAAATAAAATTCAATTCACATCTGTATTATACCTTTGAAATGATTATGACTCTCTAAAGTGATTGATGTTAACGCTTAACGTTATATTTATGTGAAATTACAATCTATTCAATGGCGGAGCTGAGATTTTAAAGTAGAGGGGCTGAACTAAAACCAAAGGCAACAACATTCAATATTGAGTATATATATTTATAAAACATTTTGAGAAACTTAATAATGTGTAGAGCATATACTATAAAATACTCGCACGTGCAAGCATGCATATACACTACGTATATGTGTTTGTATGTAGCAGTGCATATATTTCATGAAATAAAATGAAGAGAAAATAGTATCTAATTGCTTTTGTTCAAAATTAGGCTCTATTTTTAGAATATTAATGGAAAAAATTACTTGCTTCAGCATATTTTTTAAGAGTCACCTGCGGGTGTGGTAGATAGGGTGTATAAAGATTGAATGAAATTCTAAATTCTAATTTTGACGCGTGTTGCTTGCAATAAAAAATTAAAATTATGTACTTATAGCTATGATAATATTGAAAAGTTTAAAATGAATGAGAATTATAGCTTTCTCTAAATTGTTACTGTAACATATTTAATTTTGTAGTGGATTTGATTCTTATATAATAACTGAAAGATAATATCTTAAATGGCCAAAAGTATATCTTGTCATTGAATTTACATGTTATAGTTAACAAACTTTTCAATATTACCGCATATATCTTTTTATATTACTGGTTAAATATTTGTGAGTGCTCATTTTTATGTAATTGGGGAGGCCAAATGGTATTTTTCAGGGATCTAATTTACTGAATTTGGATCCTTTTAAGTCAGTTCTTATGGATAGATGATGGAAATTGATCCAATCAAGTTCTATTATGTTGCTTGAGTCTTTGTTCAATCTTATCCAAGTCCTAAGCTTTCCTTTATGTTATATATAATGTGTACTCGTAAATTTTTTCCAGCAATAAATTCTATAAGTAATTTAAAATTTTATGATCCTTGTATCAAATGATTGTCTTTGTTGAATTCTATGATTAGAGGCTGTGTTGTCAATATGTAATAGGTATGCACAAAATGGAATGTCCGATGAAGCAATCAAGCTGTTTAATGGCATGAAGGATGCAGGAGTTAAACCAGACAAAATTACATTGGTTGGAGTTCTGTCAGCATGTGCCTCAATTGGGGCCCTAGACTTGGGGAAATGGATTGATACATATGCATCACAAAGAGGCTTACAGCACAACATCTTTGTTTCTACTGCTTTGGTTGATATGTATGCTAAGTGTGGGAGCTTGGATGATGCAAAAAGAGTATTTGAAAACATGCCTGTAAAAAATGAGGTTTCATGGAATGCAATGATCTCTGCTCTTGCTTTTCATGGGCGATCTCAGGAGGCTTTATTGCTTTTTGAGCGCATGTCAACAGAGGGTATGGATGCCTGCCCAAATGATGTTACATTTGTAGGAGTACTTTCAGCATGTGTGCATGCTGGATTGGTTGATGTAGGCTGGCGGTATTTTGACTTGATGAGCTTGTCATATGGGTTAACACCAAAAATTGAGCATTACTCTTGCATGGTTGATCTTTTGGCACGTGCTGGTCAACTGTACGAAGCTTGGGACTTAATTGAGAAGATGCCTGAAAAACCAGATGAAATTGTACTGGGGGCACTACTTGGTGCCTGTCAGAAGTGCAAAAATCTTGATGTTAGTGAGAGGGTGATGCAACTGCTGCTGCAAATAGAGCCTTCGAATTCTGGAAACTATGTTATCTCATCAAAGATATATGCAAATTCAAGAAGGTGGGATGACTCCGCAAAAATGAGAGTGTTGATGAGACAAAGGGGTGTCAATAAGACTCCGGGTTGTAGCTGGATCGACATTGAAGGTCAACTTCATGAATTTCTTGCTGGGGATGACTTGCTGTATCATCACATTGAGATTCATCAAGTGTTTGAGTTGTTGAATGTGGAGATGAAGAGGGAAGGTTACATTCCAAGGGTTGATTAATAAATAGAGATATGAAAGCTCAGAAACATGCTTTCCTCTTAATCTTTTGAATGCTGAAGAAACATGCACGGAGTTTCTTTGTGGCAGGTTTGTTAGTTTGGGCAACATGTTCTTAATCTTTTATTTTAACCTTCTATGTTGGTTATGTTTGTGAAATTTTCGTGGATGGCCTATCATCAAAAAAGCATCTATTGTGAAGAAGCATGTCAATAGTTTAATTTCAGTATTAAGATAGATCAAATATCATAAACTTGAGGCTTCTTTAAATGTTTTTTGGACTATCAATTACTATGCTTTCTGCTTGTTCTGGCTTTTAGCCATTTCTAGCCTGTCAGCTTCTCACTTATACTTAATTGTGCCCTCTCTTAGGTTTGGTATATTACTATTTATCTTGCTTTATGTCCAAGATAAATTATTCAGTTGAAAACAATCACCACCTCTAGGGGAAGAGCATGTCATTCAAAGTTATGGTTTTATTAGTTGCCAACATAGATGGATGCCTGTGCTCAAGGATAGCCTAATAGTTGCCACTATTTACCTTTAACAAGGAGGTATTAAGTTCCAACTCTGTTCCAATTTAGGTATTACGTATTGTGGGAAAACACTTATTTACAACTGATTATAATCTTGTAATCTGTATATTTATATTTTTTATCCCTAGAATTAAGTATTTGTATCCCTAGAATTAAGGACAAAAAAATATGATAGATAATCCCTCAATTATAGGATCAGTTTTTAGGAAGATTTAGTTTTTTAGTTTACCGACTAATTAGTTGTATATAAACCTAAGGTGCTTGTATAATTCTTCATGAGCAGTTTTTCAATATATATTTAATTTTACTCTTAGTTTTCCAACACAATTTTATTTCTTAGTTTTTCACATGGTATCAGAGCTTTAAGCTCTTCTTGGGAAGCAAAATTTTCAGTCTTCATTGTTGACTTCTATTTTAGGCCTTCATTGCCGAACCCTGTTAAGGCCTTTATAGCCATTTTATTTTTCCTTTCTTTAGCCTTCATTGCTAAGAGTCGTTTTTGATTATATCTTAAGACTTGTTTCAGTTCAAAGAAAGATATCACTACCACCCAATTTAAGGAAGTGTCAACTGAGAAAATCACCAGGGTACTACAGATGTCTCAGAAACAAGGAGAGTTGGACAGAGAAGAGATTGAGAAGCTAAGAAGCCTATTGAAAACCCTTGCAAAGCCTATTGGGGCATGTTTCTTGGGTAAGGTCTCTAGTTTAGGTAAAGCTTTTGGTTCTCATGGATTATGTCTCGATCAAGCCTGCTATGAGTTCTTGGCTCATTGACTCAGGAGCCACAGATCATATGACACATTCCTCATAGAAGTTTAATACATATACCCTATGTCTTTGTAATAAAAAAATTGTTGTTGCAGATGGTTCACTTACTACCATAGCAGGATTAGGAGATGTGCAAATTAATCCATCGTTTTTTCTTAAAAATATTCTTCATGTTTTTGTATTGTCTACTAATGTGATATTTATACAAAAACTTACCAGAGATATGAACTGCAAAGTGACTTTTTATCCTTTTTATTGTGAATTTCAAGACCAGAGTTTGGGAAAGAGGATTGGACTTGCTAAGGAGAAGGATGGACTATACTATCTTGACACATCAAACAACACAAGTAATATCAAGCATAGTTTACCTTTGTCATTTCTTTTAGAAAAATCTCCCAATAAAGATAAAATCTAGCTTTATCATTTTCATCTTGGACATCTTTTTGTTGGAACTTATAAAAAAACATGTTTTCTTCTTTGTTCAAAGGATTAAATGCTAAAAATTTTCATTGTGATGTTTGTGAACTTGCAAAGCATAGATGTGTTTTTTTAATTAGCAATAAAAGAAGTTCTACTCTTTTTTACTTGATTCATATTGACATATGCGGTCTTTCTACAATTCTTAATATTTCGGGTGCAAGGTGGTTTGTTTCTTTCATAGATGATTATACAAGGGTCTCTTGGATATTTTGACTTAAATCCAAATCAAATGTGAATAGTGTGTTTTTAAGCTTTCAAAACATGATCCAAAATCAATTTGGAGTGAAAATTAAGAGATTTAGGTCTGATAATGCAGGAATCTATTTTAACCAGAGTTTATTTACCCATTTCCAAAGGGAGGGGATTATCCATTAGTCATCTTGTGTTAATACTCCACAGCATAATAGAGTGGCAAAAAGGAAAAACAGTCATTTACTAGCCACAACCTAAGCTTTATTTTTCAAGCAAACGTAACCAAATCTTACTGGGAGGAAGCTGTTTTCACTGCCACACATATTATAAATAGGTTACCTTTAAAGGTTTTGGGATATAAAACTTCTGTGGAACTACTCTCACAATTCTATCCCAACTTTAATACCACAAATAACCTCACACTTAGGATGTTTGATTGTACATCATTTGTTCATGTTCACAGTCACTATAGGGGGAAGTTGGATCTTAGAGCAATTAAGTACATTTTTGTGGGATATTCATCGACTCAGAAAGGGTATAAGTGTTATCATCCTCCAATCAAAAAATTCTATGTGTTTATAGATGTCACTTTTGAAGAAAGTAAATCATTTTTTACTCAACCTTATCTTCAGGGGGAGCTTTCATTCATGGAAGATAAGGATAAAGACTTCTTTTTGCTGGATTTGTTCTTTTCTTCAACATTTTCACTCATTAATCCTTTTGAGTGGAACCTTGTTTCTTCTGAGTCCAAGTCAAATACTGAATTTGAGTCTGAACCCATTCCAAACACAGAAGATGTGACAAAGGATAATATTGTTCATGATTTTATGAAGGAATTACAGGTGTACTCAAGAAGGAAAGTTCCAGATCCTGAACCAATGCCAGTCCAAGAACCTAATCGTAACTCTGGAAATGAAGTAACTACAATCTTTGACTCTGTTTCTCAAAATGAGTATGAATCTCCTAAAACTATAACTAGTGATTATGATATGCCTATTGCCATTAGAAAAGGAACTAGGGAATGTACTAAGCATCCACTATACCCAATCTTTAATTTTGTGTCATTTGAAAAATTCTTCCTATCCCACAAAAATTTTCTTGTGAGCCTAAGCATTATTTCTGTTCCAACTACATTATTCAAGGCATTATCTAGTGAGAAATGGAGGCAAGTAATGAAAATAGAAATGGACGCCTTAGAGAAAAATAAGACACAGGAACTGGTAGAGTTGCCTAAAGGAAAAAATTCAATTGGGTGTAAATGAGTTTTCACCGTAAAATACAAAGTGGATGGTATTGTTGAAGGGTATAAAGCCAGGTTAGTGGTTAAGGGCTACACTCAAACTTATGGAGTGGATAATCAAGAAACTTTGGCTCCAGTCACTAAGATGAATACAGTTAGGATTTTGTTATTATTGGTTGCAAATTACAATTAGCAGCTTCAACAATTTGATTTAAAGAAGGCTTTTCTACATGGTGATTTGGAAGAAAAAATATATATGAAGGTTCCACCAGAATTTGAAGGTAATCTAGAAGCAAACAAATTATGCAAGCTGAAAAAGGCATTATATGGCCTTAAATAGTCTCCTAAGGCTTGGTTCGGGAGATTTGCCAAAGTGATGCTAGCAATGAGATATAAGCAAAGTTAAGGAGACCGCACATTGTTTATCAAGCACTTTGATTCAGGGAGAGTCACAATTTTATTAGTGTATGTTGATGAAATAATTGTAACTGGAGATGATGAAAAAAAGAGAATGTCTAAAACAATGTTTGGCTAAAAAATTTGAGATAAAAAAGCTAGGGAGATTGAAGTACTTCTTAGGAATTGAAGTAGCTCATTCACGGCATGGTATTTTTATCTCACAACAAAAAATGTAATGGATCTTTTGAAGGAAATTGGAAGCTCGCATATAAACTTGCAAATAACCCTATAGATCCTAATCATAAACTTGGAGAAGCTAATGACGATGTTGCTATAGATAGAGAGATATACCAAAGATTAGTTGGAAGACTCATTTATTTCTCACATACTAGACCTAATATAGCATATGTTGTGAGTGTGATAAGTCAATTTATGCATAGCCTAAAGAAGTCCATCTACAGGCTATCTACCGTGTGTTGCATTATTTGAAAGTCAATCTTGGGAGAGGTATCTTATTCAAAAGAAATTCGGGTTTGGTTGACACATACAGATGTTGATTATGCAGGTTTAGTAGCTGATAGAAGATCCACCTCAGGCTATTGCACTTTCCTAGGTGGTAATCTTGTGACTAGAGGAGTAAAAAACAGAATGTGGTGGCAAAATCAAGTGCTGAAGCAGAGTTCGAAGCAATGGCTCAAGGAATTTGTTAACTACTATGGTTAAAGATTATCCTAGAAGACTTGAAGATCAAGTGGGATGGACCAATGAGACTCTACTGTGATAACAAGTCTGCAATAAGCATTGCACACAATTCTATGCAACATGATAGAACAAAACACATTGAAGTAGACCGGCATTTCATAAAAGAGAAACTAGACAGTGGTTGATTTGTACACTATATGTATCAACCAAGGGTCAACTTGCAGATGTGTTGACTAAAGGTCTCAGCAGTGCAATATTTCACGAAATTATTTCCAAGCTGGGAATGGAAAACACCTATTCACTAGCTTGAGGTGGAGTGTGGGAAAACACTTATTTACAGCTGAATGTAATCTTGTAATCTGTATATTTATATTTGTATCCCTAGAATTAAGTATTTGTATTCATAGAATTAAGGACAAAAAATTAGGATAGACAATCCCTCAATTATAGGATCAGTTTTTAGAAAGATTTAGTTTCCTAGTTTACTCACTAGTTAGTTGTATATAAACCTAAGGTGCTTGTATAATTCTTCATGAGCAGTTTTTCAATATACATTCAATTTTACACTTAATTTTCCATATAGTTTTATTTCTTAATTTTTTCACACATATGCACATATACACACAGAGATAGAGAGACACATACTTATTTATATTTGTATTGATTTAGTAATCAATGTTTACTATATTTAAATTGTTTTAGTAACTTGTACTAAATATTACAAATTCTGAAATTGAAACTCTGTTTATTTATGTATTTTATAAACTGGAGTCTGTGTAGCCATTTCCATCCCTTCATGACTGAGAATCTTCTTCATATAGTCATCAACTTTATTTCTTAAAGATAATTTTTATATATAGGCAGATGAAGTATCGTTAGGACTTATTTAAGTTCTATTTGGCTGCATATTGATTAGATACAGAACTTTGTTGATTTTCTATCAATTCAAATTGATTTTTGCCTTTTGAATTCTTATAACTTTCAAACTGGTAAGATCCTTTTTTCTTTGTTTGTTTCACACTAATTGAGTAACTGCTTGTTTTGATAAACCAGGATTCGTAATATGTTTTTTATCAATAATTTGGACATGAACTGTCAAAAATTCTTCAAGTTACTTGCTTGTGCCGAGCATGCTTCTGTATATGCAAACATACCTAGGTAAAATCTGACTTGTTTCTGGCTCCAAAATAATGTGCTTGGTTTGGTGTAAGATACAATCTCTATAGCTGTAATAGGCTATGGAAACGGTTTTATCATTTATCCTCTCTTGTTCATTACAAGCATATCTATTTGTCCAACAAACAGTTTTAGTTCTAGTGGACCATTGCTTTTTGTGTTCATACACCGTACTTGTTGACAAGGTATGTCTATATGCAGTTAGGCGCTGCATGACTTGCATTTGCTGATGGTATTTTGTCTTTTCTTAATATTTTCTTTTACATCACTTCTTGACAGGTTGGCTGTCATGGTTAATGCTATCTCCTAATGTGTTTCCATTCAGAAATTACCCGTTCTTTAATAGCCAAGATTGATAATTATATAAGGTATTTGATATGTGACACATTTAAAAGAAATGGCCAAGTGTGTGGTTCACGCTTGAGCTCAGAAGTGGAACTGCTATTTGTAGATCTAGAGCTTGCGCTTTACTGCATGCTTGTATTGTGTTTGATTTTTCACACTGTTTCTGTAAATGCATCTTTTACCTTCTCAGAAGGACTTTAAATTAAATTTTGTTTCAGATGACAAAAATGGAAGACAAAAATTCACCCGGAATGCGGCTTATATCACTTCAGACGTTGTTCTCATGATTTTTCTTCTTCAAGGAATGGATAATTATATCCTGCCACTTGACAGGACAGACCACGTGGCAATAACAAATCCTCTAGTGAGCTGATAAATTCTCGCACTTCTCTATTTATTGATCTCAGCAGCTGCATCACTATGACAACTTTAAATGGGTAATTTTTCAATCCTTTTTTTTTTGTCACTTTTCTTACTCAGATATAATTGCAATATACTTATCAGGCTGCAGTTTGTAAATTTAATATTACCAGTCTTGCTAGCTTCTAGCTTGTTAAGGTGATTTTGAAATGTCTTTGCGAATTTATGATGTTGATGATTTATGAAAGTGTATTGTTGGAGTTGGATACATTATATTTTCTTCTAACCTGTGTTAGTGGGATCATTTTTTTCATATCTGAACTAATCAAATTGTTGCCTTGTTGGAAATTTTGGCTAGGCTTTCAGGTTTGAGTCCTCGAGTCGGGGAAAAAATATTGATGGTCACTAATCCTACATCAGTAGGACAAGGGAATGGTTTTGGGCTATAAAATCATGGGTCTTCCTTCACCTAATAGGCATGTCTTTTTGGGTCGGAAATGTGGATAGTTAACAATAACAAGTAGTATCAGTGGGCCCCATGAGAGATACCAAGGTATGGGAAAAAAATACTGATGCCATATATCACGAATCTCACGTCAGTAAGACAAGGTGTGGTCTTGGGCTATAAAATCATGGTTCTTTTTTCACTTTTTTCACCTAACATTTATGTCTTTTAGGTTGGAAATGTGGACATGTGATTAGTGGTATCCAAGCTGATCTTCACTGATGTGAGTCCTCATGAGAGATTTTCACCCAACAACTATGTCTTTTGGGGTTGGAAATGTGGATGCGTGATAAGTGGTATCAAAGCAGATCCAACTCTTCATTGATGTGAGTCCTCATGAGAGATATCAAGGTTGAGATAGGTTCGGACCAAGTGGGTCCCTCTCCTCTAAGGAGGTGTTGCACAATTGGGTGAGAGAGAATGTCATAAATCTCACATTACCTAACAAGCATGTCTTTTGGGGTTAATGTGAACACATAATAAGTGGTATCAGAACAGATCTAACTCTTCACTGATTTGAGTCCTCATGATAGATATCAAGGTTGAGATAGGTTCAGAGCAAGTGGGTTCCTATCCTTTAATGGAGGTGGTGCACAATTGAGAAAGGGAGAATGTCACAAATCCCACATTAGTAAGACAAAGAGGTGGTCTTGGCTATAAAATTATGGATTTTCACGTTAATCATGTGTTTTGAGTTGGAAATATGGGCTCGTGACACACACATACATGCATACTTTTCTTTCTATGTGCATTAAGAATTCTAGATACATTATGTATTGCCTGTATTTATTGTACAAGCACTTAATCCTAATGGATGGTGTTCTATATGGACTATTTTCAGTTTCTTTTGTTGTCTATGAAAGTTTTGTTGTATCCCTTGCATCAGCCTCTTGTATGGTTAAATGATTAGCTTTAGTTTGGGTTGAGTGCATTGACAAGAGTATCATGCATATTGGATCATGCATCTCTTTTTAGCCCTCATTTATATATTTACCAGAAAAAAAAAATTAAAAAAGATCATTTTTTCCTTGTAATGTTCTTTTCAACCGTAAATAATCTTCCATTTTGCCCTAATAGGATCTGGTGTCACTGTCAGTATAGTCCCCTGGAGAAATGTGAAGCGGATTAGAGAAATGCTGGGAAAAGAATTACAAAGAAAAATCTTTAGCGGTGTTCCTTTGTCTATTTTTTTGGAATCTCCAAAATGAAGTATTTTTTTTTTTCATTAGTTTAAATTGAATTTTCAATTTTTGTTTTTAATTTTTGACAATAAAAAGGTATTGTGTACCAATATTACAAAAAAATTGATTTATAATATTAAATATGCAAAATCAATTTTTATATATATGTGAGAGTCAAAGACCGACAAAGGATGGATTAATTACAGGTCAATCAATTTTGATCTGGGCTTTTCTAGACTAGGGGTACGTCGAGGTTAGATAAGACACAATGCTATGTTTGAGCTCTATTCGCATTTAATCAAGGTTTAATTTCATTTTATCTTTGAATTCGCTTGAAAAGTAATCAGTTACTCGAGCTTACCTTAATTAGACTTAATTATCATTTACTTATATGAGTAGTTTGAAACTTTATTACAGCTCGAGTTCTATTTGGGATTAAAATTAAAAAAGTTTAAAATATCTAAATAAATATTATATTTTACTATATGTATAATATTCAAAAGTTAAAACTTTTAAAAGCTTGATAAGGTTCCTTGTCATGAATAATACAAAGTTTGAACCGAACTCAGCTCAATTCATTAATCGCTTGAGCTGAAGCTCAGATTGGCCATAAACAAGTTAGAATTTAAATATTCAATCATCCATCAACCCAAATTTGAGTAGTTTGAATTATTTATATAAAATTAAAATATTAAAAATTTTGAATTATTCTATTTTTTAATAAATCTTTTATACTTTTATTATATTTAAATAAATTCTCATACTTTGATTTGTATCAAAATAAATTTTTATTTCAAATGAAAGGATTATTATTGTTAGGGTCTTATTTAAGTATAAATTAAAAATTTAAAAACTTATAAATTGAAAGTTAATGATTTATTGGATGCAAATTAGAGATAAGTTTATTTGAATATAATAAAAGTATAAAAATTTATTTAAATAAAGTTATAAAATTTAAAACTTTTTTTATTTTTTTAACTTTTACTTATTTAATCAAGGTATACATACTTTCAACATTCATAGCTTCAATAAAGCACATAACATAAATGTGTTTTTATTAATAAATTTGATTTCAATTGAAATTTTGTGACGTTAATTAATTTACGTCAAGATTAAGATTTTGTAATAATTCTCGTGGAACCAAGTCGGTGGAATCAAAATTTCATATATATATATATATATATATATATATACATATAAATACATAGTTCTAAACTAAATCGTTTGAAAAATGATTTACCTTTGATTCAAAATTTTTAATTTGTTAATTATATTGTTTGTTAATCAAAATTTCTACTTTTGACAAATTCCAGATTTAACTTATTTACTTTATATAATTATTTTTAAGAGATGACATGCAATAAGTATAATGTTTAAATACTATTATTTATAATATCTTTCCCTATTTTTAGGATGTGTTTTCTTCTCTTATACAAAGAATACTTTTGATTTACTTAGTCAAGATGTAATTTCGTGTTTGAGTTTGGCTAAAAAAATGATTGAGTTATTCCAGCTCAACTCAATAGGTTTTGACCATCATTATCGTATGTGAGGAGCTTAAACTTATAAAGCTCCAACTTTAGTTTGAGATTAAAATTTAAATAAAGTTTTTGTTCTTAAAAAAATAAATTTTAAAATATCTAAATAAATATTATATTTTATTATATCAATAACATTTAAAATATTGAAAAATTCAAAATCTTGATAAGGTTTGCTTGCGCAAATATTAGAAAGTTCAAGCTCAATTCTATTCTTTACTTGAATTGCTTGAGTTTAAGTTTTATTCGACCATAATCGAGTTGAATATTCATCAATTTAAATTCGAATAGTTCAAATTGTTTACATCTCTAATTAAAATCTCTATTATTTATTTATTTATTACTAATAAAATTGATTTTTTAAAATTTTGTGATTGTAGTAAATTTATGTCCTGATTAAGATTTTGTAATAACTTTCACAAAATTAAGCCCGTGAAATCAAAACTTCATATACATATAGACATACATGCATATAGAAATAATTTTCTAATTTTCAATCACTTCGTTGAAAAATGATTTATTTTTTATTAAAAATTTTAATATGTTAATTATTTTTCTAAGTTATAGCAATCGTATTAAATAGTTCTCTATATATAAAGATAATTATTATTTAAAAATAAATAAAATTATTCACATGCAAAGCATGTAGTGTTAGTTTAATCTAAACTAGTGTTGAGGGCCCGGTTTTGCTCAATCTGTTATAATAATTTTTAATATTTTATTGAATTGGTATATGTTTGAAATAAAAATTAAAGTAATATCTAAAGTTAATATAAAGTAATAATTTAAGAGAGTTAACATTGTTAATTGTTAATTTAAGAAGAGATGGGCAATAACACGACATTATTAGAAAGCTAAACTCTTATAACTATTTTTGTTAAAACAAAGCTGTGACAAACAAAAAGCAAGTTACCATAAAACAATAACATTCAATGTTTAATCACCTTTAAGAAGCAAAGAGTAAAAGTGATTTCTTGACCTAACATGGCATCTAGGTAGCAAATCAACGTCGCCTAGGTTGCAAAATTATTCAAACCTAAAGTATTCAAGAAATGATAGTTAGTAAAAAGGGGAAAGATGAAGCTTACAGAGCTATTTGTGAATATACGGGATTTTGTCTTTCTCAAACTTGAGCTCTTCTAAACAAAGCCAAAACATAGTATATACAGACCAACCACAATGAATTGAGAGTTATACTACTTTATTTATAAATGAAAGTTGATACCATGTACAAAAAAGAAATGTTGTCACCTTCATCAATCATTTCTTTCTCTCTAGTAGATATCTAAATAGCGTAAAGCCTTCTTATACTTTATGAAAGCCATCTTATAGTCTTGTTTCTATTAAGGAAATTCATTAGCACAAATGAAACCCCAAAGCAGAAACTGAAAAAGGAATAAGAAAAATGTAAGGGAAAAAATTAAGCAATAAATCCAAAAAGCACCATCTTGAAATATCAAGTGTAGCGAGAACATTGTATAAGCACAATTCCATTTGGCAATGAACTCATTAGTGCATTAATAAACATGCATGAGCCTTTTACCTTGTAATGTTTATTTCTAAAAACTTTAATAAAAGCCACAACAATCATCCACTAAGAAAGTTTGTCAAGACTCTCATCAATGTCAACTGGCCAATCAGCACAAATATCACCATCATTGAGAAAATTGGATATTTCGTCATTTGTCCTCTTTAGGATTTTTCCACAATAAAAAATTATAACATCAACAATTTTATCACTTTTTGCATGTTTGATTAAATGAACAACTCCCATTCTTTTGACAACCTTGCCAAATACAACATGTTTCCCATTTAAATGAAAAGTGCGAGTTGTAGTAATGAAGAATAAAGACCCATTTGTGTTAAAACCAGCATTTGCCATAGATAACATCCATTTCCTTTCATGTTTCAATAGAAAATTTCATCTTCAAATTTTAAACCATAAATTGACTATTTTCCAATACCATCTCCAATAGATATATCTCTACATTGTACCATAAATCTTTTAACAACATTATATAATAATTTTATAATACTTAGATTAAATTCGAAGCTACAACATGGTACGAATAAGTTTATTCATAATTATGGTAGATGATAACTTTAAAAGTGTAATGTGTGATCATTGTAAAGAAAAAATAGTCACCATTTTTCAAGTGATTATCAATATCAAATTTGTTCCAAGAGACCATCCAGTATAAAGTTTACTTTCTTTTTGTAAAGGAAAACATAAAATATACCCAAGAGAAGGAAGAGATCAAGACTTAAAAGAATCAAAAGTAAAAGGGAAATTAAAAAACATGGAAAAGCTTCCACACATTTAGCATGTGAAGAAGCTTAAGGTTTATAAAGTGAAAAAAAAAAAAAAAGCTAGAGAAGTAGAAGGTTTAAATTAGGATAAAGTCTTTAATGAAGCCTCAAAGGGATGTTCAAGTCATTAGGGTAAAAATTTTAACCAACCAGGCTCTCCACTAAAACCTAACTTAGGTTCCAAAAGCCTATAATCCAGAGAGAATAATGTGGCATAAAGTATTATTCTTTTGAACATATGTTAGAAAACATACATTACTTGTAAGAACTAAAATCTAGTTATTAATCCACGTGCATTAACATTTTTGTACATAATTTGTTGAAAATCAAGAATGCCAATCAACTTTTCATTTCTTGTTTCTCTTCCTACCACATTTTTTATAAACAATCATAATACCAGGTATATACTCTTTTAGGATAAAAACATACACTTATTATTGATTAATTGAAAAGAAAAATTCAATACTAGCTATGATTACTGAAACATGATACTTGAACAGAATCCAATAAATGTGGAATAGCTGGAAGAACTTGTCTCCTATTTAAACATTATTTATTATTACTATTTCTTCAAAGCACATCATCTGACAAAGCTTTTTACAAACAACTAATACAGTAAACATGATAAATGCTTTCATACCTTCCCAGAAATCGTTGACCAATGTCCATAAATTCTGCCACATTATTATCACCTTCACGAACAAACTCTAGAATTTAGGATGGAAACATACGAAAAGAGATACGAAAGCTCATTTTTCTTCAACCATCTCTAAAAAAAAATAAATAAAAGAAA